TCACATACGCCAAACGAACCGCGCTAACTGGGCAAACGAGACAGATTCCAAAACAAAAGTGTAGGTGTGAAAGCACTTCACAAGACCTTTAACTTCATTTCTTGCACTTCCCTGCAATATGATGTTACATGGTGATAACGAATTTTTTAATATATAGTGCAGCCCTACTGCAGACACAGAAAAAGAGAGAGTGTGTGTGTGTGTGTGTGTGTGTGTGTGTGTGTGTGTGTGTGTAAATGTCTCTTACCCCTTTGAGAGACTCGTATCTCTGAGATCTGGGCTTCTTGATGCCATTTCTGTGCCACTTACGAGCTGCAAACACAAACAGAGTCAGTAAACACTCGCCACACACAGACTCTGCGATAGACAATTACTATCGGGATCAGTTTTAAATTCGCACATTTGGACTTCCTACTTAATTTAATTTCAGAAAAGTGCAAATTCTAAAAGCCAAAATCATATTAGCAGCCAATGATTATCAAAGTGCATTGTTCAGTCAGTTAATAGAGCTAATGTTGTTTTGAAGTTGCTTTAATTTAGACATCGGATCGATAGCGATAATCTTAAAAATAGCATTTATCGGCCGATAACGATATGGCCTCCATTATATCGTGCATCCCTAGTTGTTTTTACATGACCAAATCTTCAAATTGGCGTTATAAACGATATAGAGAGCGTGTCAAAAGCGGTCACTGTTCAGACATGAACAAACACACGAATATAAAACCAGCTTCCCCTCAATATACTTACACTGGTTGTGCGTGGTGTGGTTCTTGGACTTGGCCATTTCTAATCACCGTCTGCTGAAAAACAGCAAAATACACACATTCAGTACAAGAGCTGCCTGTAAACACACTATTAATAAATCACACACATGAATGGCTCTGCATTAAGACACATTATAGATGCAAAGTTGGTTGTATATTTGGATATTCAGACATTCTCCTTAATAATATAATTTCAGAAAAGTGTTCTTTGCAAATTGTACATAGGGAAATCATATTAGCAGCAAATGACTATCAAATATATGACATTGTTCGCAGTGAATTATAGTGTTAATGTCGTTTAGAAGTCATACTTCCGTGCTAATTCGGATCGAATATTCAAAGTAACATGGTAGACAATATAGACTACTAAATGAACGAATGTGCGAATATAAAAGCAACTTTACCTGATGAGACCAATTTTATACTCCAATACACATGCTGATAACTATATACATCACAATACAGTGCTTTTTTTTTGTAAATTCATTTCAATTAAGAGTTTATATACATATTAAGATTTGTTTTACGTTCTAAAGTAACTTACATGCTTAAATATGGGATTTATTTACAAGTTCAGTGCGAATGTTTGATCACGAAAGCAGAAATACAACATAAAATGTCATTAAATGTGTGCAAAAGCTTTAACAATTTAAGTAACGCTAAATGTTAACCATGTTTTTGCCTAGCAGTTATTAAGGTTTCTGTCTGCATCCTTATGTTTGCATGTACAATGACATATTATGGAGAAGTATTGCAGTAAACTATTTAATTTGTGAGGGAATATGAAACGTTGGACTTTAATCTGACATAATATATTACCATATAGCTACAAAAGCCAACACATCACTGTTTTCAGCAGTATTTGCTCATAAAACAGCAGCCTAATTCTGAATATCGATTCATTTTCTGACCAAAATAAATGTAAGCGGTATATTAGCGCAATGCTAACAGCGCCTGTAAATAAACCGATTTAATCACTCAATCATAATCGTTCGGACTCAATACGGAACTTTACAAGCAGCTGAAGCGATGCTCTACATAAATCTGAACTTATACTTTAATAACACTTTATGATTTTTGAGGATTAATGCGGATTTCATAAAAATCCGGAGATCATCTCCATACCTGCCACACGAAGCGCAGGACAACCGGAAGAGAGAGAGAGAGAGAGCAGGGCATTGTGAGAGATAAGAGTCCACTCACCGGATGCTCAGCCAATATGTAAACAAAAAAAACTTTTATTAACATGAACGTCTCTTTTTCCTTTCTTTTTTTAAACAATGGAATTAATGGATAATCTGCTAAATAGACTTAAGCATTCATTAAGTTTTTCGAGTGTAAAACGAGATGAAAAGCCGTCAAGATCCGCAGGCGAGTGAAGAAACTCCATTAAAAATACTGAAGAATAATAAACGTTCATATATTAAAGACATAGCGCTGGAAAATTTGTTATTTAATGCAGCGATTCTTGTACATCATGAGACCCACTTTATATCGTATATCAATCAGGCAGTAAAGATCACTGATTTTTAAAGAAAACATGACTTAAATGCGGCGATTTAATAACAGCACACTGGAAGCGCTTTCAAATTAAAAGTCCTGCTGTATCATGCAGCTCTACTGTAAACTATTAATTTGTTGAGTGGTTAACTAATCCTTACAGTGAAACCTATCAGATATGTTAGATCATACCTGAATTCACATTTAAATAAAAAGTATTGTACAATTGTGAACGAAACTGAACATGAAAGTTCTCAGTCACACTTTGTTGATGAAAGAGGCTTCAGACAAATGAGTATAGAAATACAGCATTGCTATTTTAAACAATAAGAACAAGTTGCTTAAATAATGACAAAAGAATGCTCAAAATGCATGCAAGAGGCTCATTGTGAAAACATACCCCTGTATACATTTCTGGAGAGCGCGAAATATGTAGCCAGAGCTACGTATGGCTGCATTTCATCTTTAAAATGAACGCTACAGGTAGGTATAATGCCGCAGACTGTTTCTGTTTCTTTTTGCGCTACCAGCTGACCGCCTACTTCCATGTGGACAGCTTTTCCACTGTCACCAGTATGCCCAGTAGCTCGCCACATATGTTTGCGGACTTGAAACGCAGAGAGGAGTTGACTATGATGACGGTGTTCCAGTCTGGCGAAGAATGTTTCCAGAAAGCAGGTTAAAAATTAAATAAAAACGAGTAAATAACAGGGTGAGAATGTGGTAAGATCTGAAAACGTGGTAAAAATCAATCTGTGCTTTTAAAAACACTATCGGTTGGGTTTGGGGAAGTGAGTGGGCGGGTCAATTGGTGCTTTTTAAAACACTATTGGTTAGGCTTAGAAAAGGTGGAGGGTGGGGGGATTGGTCAGTCAGTCAGTTGACAGCAGCCTCTGGTGGATTTACATGAGAACAGCAGGCCTGAATGGCACTCGCAAGAGAAATTTGAGATCTGAAAAAGCGTACACAGCAGCCTCAGTGGATTCATGTGAGAACAACAGGCGCAAATGGCTCTTGCAAGAGAAATTTGAGATCTCAAAAAGTGTACACAGCGGCCTCTGGTGGATGCACGAAAACAAAAACTGCAAAATAACGTACCTCCTGGGACATTTTTCATACTCTCAAGAAATATATACATGGGTACATATCCATAATGAGCCCGGGTTGAATAATTTTACTAAATTATAACTTCCATATGAAAATAATAATAATCGATCAACATGACAAACAAATCTTTACGTCAAGAAGAGCTAAAGATGCTTACATTCATACAATAAACTCTGAAGGAACAACGTCATGGCATTTGATGGAAAAAGTGCAATTTACAATATTTAATGAATCATTCTGCTGCTGCTCGAATAGTGGTCAAAATAACCGGTTTTATTTTAGGGAATATACATTGGGGAAACATTTGCTATCAAATGTCCAACTTGTAATCATTATAGTCATAAATTAGTCTGGAATGTTTTGAAGCAAAGACTTAGTGTGTGTGTTTTTTAAAGAAGTCGCTATAGGCAGATTATTGCTGAATAAGTACGTTTAAAGTGAGTGTGTGTTTACATTGCAAGTACCAAAACGTTTAGCAAAATTTGCACCATTCTGATGAAATACATGTTGACAGCTACTGAAGAGCACCATAGGGTTGCAGCAAATTCACAATAAGAACTGTGGCTTTATAAGGATAATTCAGAAGATATATTGTCAAAAATGAACACAGGTTAAACATTAGTGCTGTCTAACATGTAACAATATCATACACACACAGATTAGTTTGATCAGCTCTTAAAACACTGACAGTCAATCATTGCAGCAGCAGAACTACAAAAACAACCTGAAATAACCCGAATGCTGCAGTGCACCTTTATAGAGGTAAACATGTACTGTATCTTTATAGTGATGTTGTTTGTGTGAACGGCCTATTAAATCTCAATTAAACTGAATTATCATATTCAGCTGCCTAATGGCTCATCTCCACTGACTATGCATTCATTCATTCATCCATTCATTTTCCTTCAGCTTTAAGGTTGATTTATACCCACGGCATCTGCCTTGTGCGTAGTCTTGCATTTATTGTTCTGCATGCTGTTTGTGTTGCTCTGCAATAACACCTTCAAACCACTAGCTGGCAGTAGGTTTTTATGTTCCTCTGTGTCTGTTTTTTCTGAATGCTACAAGTGGCTCAAACTCGCTCATTCAGACGTGGGAACCGGCGGACGTGCTACAACTTCAAATCATAACTTAAACACAAAACAACAGTGTCCATCTGGAGCTCTTTCATGGGACTCCACACTTGTAAGCACTCGCTACATCTGGCTCGCGGTTCTCAGCACTGCCCACACTTGTTACCGATTCAAAGTCGACCAATCACAGAGCTTGAGCTACGCATCATTGCGACGTGTAGTTACATATTTTGAGACACGGCGAGGGCTATGCGACCACGCAAATGTGCTGGACCATCTGCATGCGCTTGACGCAGAAGTATAAATCAGCCTTTAATCTCTATTTCAGAGGTCGCCACAGTGGAATGAACCACCAACTATTCCAGCATATGTTTTATGCAGGTCCCTGCTGGGTCAGTTGGCGTTTCTGTGTGGAGTTTGCATGTTCTCCTACAGTCCAGACACATGCGCTATAGGGAAACTGATCAACTAAACTGGCTGTAGTGTTTGAGTGTGTGTGTGAATGAGTGTGTATGGGTGTTTCCCAATATTGGGTTGCAGCTGGAAGGGCATCCACTGCGTAAAACATATGCTGGAGTAGTTGGCGGTTCATTCCACTGTGGTGACCTTTGATAAATAAGCCACTAATGCGATGGAAAATGAATGAATGAATCTAATGCACCATACTACTGAAGTCATTGTGTGAGGAATTCAACACGCTTCTGCTTCCTGTTGAGTCGACTAGACTCTTTTGAGCCCCGTAGAGCATCTGAAGCTCCAGCACTGGATAACACACAGTCCTCTTGTGTTTTCCTCTGTTCACTGCGTCCTCGAACTCTAGACCCAAACTCTCTAGCACCCACAGAGGACTGACTCCTCCGCCCTGGCCTCCGCTTCTTCACATCCCCAGCATCAGAAAGCGGCTCAGGACTGCATGTGGAGACGGGATTGCGGATGTTTCCCGCCGCCTGCATGCGTCTCAGATGTCTGCTCTCGCTTAGAGGATCGCTGAGTCTGTGTTCGCGGTGTCGAGGCTCAGATCGAGTCCTGCTCTCGCTGCTGCTCCTCTGAGGAACGCCTGAAGATCTCTTCTCCGTATGCAAGCGAGTGTGCTGACGGTATGATCCAGTAGAGTAGTGGTTGTGGCAGTGTGTGCAGGAGAGATGTAGTGAAGTCATAGATGACAGCAAACCCAGTGGAAACGCACGCTGGCATTGGAGGATGCATTTAGGAGCGCTGAGACTGGAGTGAGGCGTCGGGTGGCGATGTTTCGGTGCAGATTTGCTGGAGTCTTCTTGGAGGGTTTGGATCTGGTGCCACTCCATCTGCAAAAGCCGGTCTAGGTATCTCTCCAGCTGGCCGACGGGTTTGGGTCGAGGAATGGTCTTGCCGTCGGTGTTCAGATACACCGCCAGCTGCGTGAGGCTCCAGGAGTTAAACGGAGGCGGGAGGAAATCTGGAAAGCTGCTTCTCTGAACTCGGTTTGTGGGTTTGAAGGAGTGAAGGGGGTCTGAGCCGTCTATGACTTCTGCACGCAGGTCGAGGTCAGGAGGAGAAATCTGAGGAGGTATCAAGGACACGGTTAAAAATGCTGGGTTACAAACAATTCCTTCATGTTGTCTGCTGTGAAACTTCATGTGCACTGTAAAATACAGTATATCTGTTAATGAACAGTTTCTGTGATATTTATAGGTTTAATTTGAAGATTTATTTTTGGCCTTTTTCCCTACTGAAAAAATCAGCTTAAACCAGCCTAGGCTGGTTGGCTGGTTTTGGCTGGTCAGCCAGGCTGGTTTTAGAGGGGTTTTGGCCATTTCCAGGCTCGTTTCTAGCCATTTCCAGCCTGGTCTTAGCTGGTCAGGCTGGGAGATGACCAGCTAAAACCAGCTTGACCAGCCTAGCCAGACTGGGAGCCCAGCCAAAACCAGCTATGTCCAGTTTAATCCAGGCTGGTCAAGCTGGTTTTAGCTGGATTTCAATCAAAATTGAAGCTAAATTAGCCAAGCCGCCAAATATGCTAACCACTTAACAGCTTAGTTCATGCACAGCAGGAGAGGAGAGTTTTAAAATAAAACTAATAAAACTATTACAGAAACAAATTACAACAGAAAATTTAAGTCCACATACACCGAAAGTTGCGACCGTTGGTTTTTGTATTTTTTTGTATTGTGCTGCAGAGATTAACTGTTAATTAATTAAAGAATAATTAATTAATTAAATGATTATTCATTAATAATTAATGAATAATTAATTAATAAATGAGAAAACAGTGGGCGTGGCTTGTTTTTTCTACTGTGGGCTGATTGGCTGTAGTAGAGTAGGCGTTTCATTCAGAAAGATGGGGAAAAGGGTTTGGGGAGAGTTATTACAGACTAACAGACTCCTCCTCCTCACCATTTCTGTTTGTTGACTGACAGCTGGAGGGGCGTGGTTAAGTATGTTAGTCACGCCCAATACCTCAGACAAACCTAATCTGGGAATCCTAACTGAAATCCGGAAGTGCATTCGCTGATTTCTATTAAAGATTCCAAGAGCAAGCTATTGTGTTTTTCTTAATGACCTGCACGGATGAATTGTTCAGCACAAAACTAACGATGCGAGTTAACATCATCAATATGCTTAGTTTAGATTTCTTCTTTAATTAGTAAAATAAATGTTTAATAATTATGTAAAAAAAGCTCAAGTCTAATTACCTTAGCAGGCAGCACAGAGTATCGCTCAGAGTCGGAGATGTCGCTGGCGCTGTCGTCTCCTCCAGCTTTACTCCGAGATGAACAACTCTCCTCCTCGGTTCTGCAGTCGGACGGCTCTTCTCTCTCAGCATTTACAGTGTCAGACTTCACACTATTAGCCTTGCCTTCGCTCTCTTTCACAGCACCGGGGTTTTTCCTATTGTCTTTATGTCCATTTTTGGAAGCTGCATGAGATCTGAGCTTCACTGAGCTTTGTTGCCTTGAGGAAGCAAAGGAAAAGGTTTTAAAGAGGTAGTAGAAAAGCTTTAACCTGTTAGCCAGCACTCAATTTTGGGGATGTACACCTACCTAACTTTAAATAGTAACAGTTCCACACTACAGTAAGCTACAAACACAATTCATATATCATTGGAAAGAAGACACTTTGAGCTTTACTGTGGTAAAAGGAGAAGTTGTATGTTAAAAAATATAAAAAGTTACACATTATGAAGTCATAAAGGTAAAAAAAATGTATAGTGTTCAATATTTGTTTTTCATATAAAAACACAGGAAAACATTAATGTAATGTCCTAGAAAAAATATGACTTGAAAGCCAAGTATTTCATGAGTTTATATTTTAAATTTGATGATGATTGCATGCAAAATGAGATTTCTGTAAAAAGTTTTCTGAGGCTATGTCGATGTCCTTCTCTCCCTAGCCGTCAGAGGCACTTTCTCCAAAAAAAATCTTCCCAAAGCTAAAACATTTGCAGTTGCTGAATGATTTGGTCTACATTCATAGTTTATGTATCATTGGAAAGAAGACACTCTGGGCTTTATTATCCATCATCCAGTGTTTATAATGCTCTAAATAAAAATATGTTATGGATGTAGGGTCTTGTATAGGGACCTAATATAACCTCTTTAAAATATGATATTTCTTTTATTTTCAAGTGACAAAATGTTTTTGGTTTTATTTAACTAATATTAACCCTGATCACATATGCATCGCAGGAACACGGTCAAATTGAGTTTATTCACTATAATCTCAAGTACTATGATTTGTGCTAGAGCCTTTTCTAACCTGTGTGTGGGATTGGCCATAATCAGCATTGTGTCTGGTCTTATTCGTCTTAACCTCTGCTGGCAGACCTGGAGACACACAGACAACAGCACTTACTCTGCATTAACCACGGCAATATATATGAGCAATATCACACGAGTAGCAGTGCGAGGTGGCTTAATATCGGCACTGATGGAAGGCATGCGTCAATTTATATAATATAATTAATTTATATTATTAATATAATATAACCCCTTCTGTTGAGTAGCTACTCACAGGTTCAGATGAAGGGCTGGTGTTCGGTGTTGGAAGCAAAGGTGCCTTTGAGGTTTTCTTGCTTTTAATAAAAGTGAAGTTGATTAGCATCATGTATATATGAAGCAGCAGTAATATGGTTAATATTGTATATCTGCTACATAAAAAACACAATAGCAACTAATACTAAATACTGTGCAAAGTAGTGTTCTTGAACCACTATACGATTTCTCTTTGTAGTATAGTAACCTGATAAACTGTAAAAATGATCTGGTTTTACTACAGTAAACTGGTGTAATGTAGTATAATATACAATATAGTTTAAGAAAACTACAGTATTGGGCCATTTGTTTATATTATTAAAGTTGCTGTGTAACCATAGCAACTATAGAATTAGTACACAACAAATTACTATTCAGTAATTTACTATAGTATGGTTCAAAAACACTAGTATTTACTATAAATTACTATAGTTTGGTAATATGGGAGGGTTTAATATAAACTAAAGCATACTACAGTATTTATTACAGTTTATCAGTTTGTTATAGTACATACTACAGTATGCTGGAGCATTTAGGGTGATTAATACATACAGTATGATACACTTTACTACATGATGGTTAAAAAACACTTTAGTAGACTATTTACTTTAATATACTATAGTTTGTATAATAATACGCCACAGATTCCTGTAGTTAAACTAAAGCATACTACAGTATTTATTACAGTTAAGTTAATTCTACAATATACTGTAGCATGTATGGTTGTGTATACTATAATACATAATACACTTTACTACAGTATGGCTCATAAACACTATAGTATTTATTTTAAATCACAATAGTTTGTTCATATGAGAAGGTATAATATAAATACATCAAAGTTTACTGCAGTAAAAATAAAGCATACTACAGTATTTATTACAGTTTCATTAATACTACAGTATGCTAGAGCATTTACGGTTGTGAATACTATAGTACATACAGTATGCTTCAAAAACACTATAGTATTTACTTTAAATCACAATAGTTTGTTCATTTGGGAGAGTATAATATAATTTAATACATCAGTTTACTGTAGTAAAATTAAAGCATACTACGGTATTTATTTAGGTTTCGTTAATACTACAGTGTACCGAAGCATTTATGGTTGGGATTACTGTAATAAATACAGTATACTATACTTTACTATAGTATATGGTTCAAAAACACTGTAGTATTTACTTTAAATTATTATAGATTGTTCATATGAGGGTATAATATAATACAATACATTACAGTTTACTGTAGTAAAACTAAAGCATACTAAAGTATTTATTAAAGTTCAGTTAATACTACATGCTGGAGCATTTAGGGTTGTGAATAGTATTGTAATACATACAGTATACTACCACAGTATGGTTCAAAAACACTGTAGTATTTACTTAAATATATATTGTTCATATAAGGGTATGATATACTACAATACATCCCAATTTACTGTAGTAAAGCTAAAGCATGCAGATAGTTAATATTACAGTATGCTGGAGCATTTATAGTTGTGAATAGTACTATGATACATATAGTAATACACTTTATTGTTCAGATATACCATAGTAAATGTAAATCCAGTGAGTAAACTATGATTTGAATGCCCGGTTATACTCGTCTTACCTTGCTGCTGCATGTCTCGCGGCTTTATATTGGCTGTGGTTGAGATTCAGACTGTTGTATACAGTGCTCTCCTGCAGGACTGTTCCCATATTCCCCAAATCAGCCTGGATCTCCTACAACTGATGTTTTCTCTTTCCAGCTGAGCGTTTATCCATCCTTCCTGCTCATTTGATGGTTTCTCCCTCGATTAATCGTCTCTCTCTCTGTCTGTCGCTGATCCCTGTAATAATCCACCGAGCATCAGTACCGATCTACCGTAAATAATTCAGCAACCGGATCAGTCTGTCTGTAATCAGACGCATCGCTCAAAGCAGGCGTTCAGGTGCAGATCGATGGGCTTTATTTAGGCTTAATTGTCTGATACCTGTTATTTAAATGAGGATATTTACGTGGGCGTGCATTCCAGCTGTGGGCGCATTGTTATATGGGAAATGTAGTAGTCGGCAGCCTCAGAGATACTGTAAACATACATGTGTGGGACCCTATTTGTGTTGCCAAGTCCGCAGTTTTCCTACGGAATTGGGCTACTTCAGATATCCGCAGGTTGTTTATTTATATTTATTTAATATTCACTAAAGGAATTTATTTTACTGATATATGAAGTCATATAAATCAATGCTTAAGACACACCTGTATGATTTGTCGTTCACTCCAAGGAGAGTTTTTCAATAGTGTTAGTTGTTTTCGATTGTGTTTATTGTTTTACTCTTTTAAAGCGCTGTGGTCAACAATAGTTGTTTTAAATGTCTTACATAAATAATTATGAATTGAAATAGTAATATAATAATAATACTGACTTTAATATTAATTTGTATGCTATTGGGCTACATTTTGTCGTGAATACCTGGCAACCCTGGACCCCAAACAGAATTCCATAGGCTACACAAGCGTGTGAACATTATTGACGGTGCAAATAAGACGCGTCCGCGGTGCAAATTTGGAAACTGAAGTGTTTATATGTGATTATCAGACTGGAGAATGTCTTATTTGATGCACGGTGGTCTAATAATAATCGTCGGTGTGTGCTTGTTTGGCTTCACCTCCCAGCGGGACCACCGGTTAAATGTCAAACGCGCTCGATCTCCGCGTATTTTATTACAATCTCTCCGGGGAAAGAAGAGCTCTTGTCTACTTTAACATTAGGATTTGTGTGCATATGTATTCGTTTTAACGGCACGTCACGCGGAGAGTTCTTCGTAAAGTCAGGTGCAAATTACCACTGTCTTCCCCAAGGTAAGGCAATCTGCTGCCAAATGTACAGTACAGTAGTCAACCCTATACTTTATGCATTTATAACATGTTATTCATAACATATTACGTTCCCACATGTAAAATACTATTGTAGTAGTGTTTTTAAACCATACTATCGTACTTTGTATATTACTGTTTATTAATAAGAACCGTTAATAAATACTATAGTATACTTTAGTTTTTCCTACAGTAAATTGTAGTATAATATATCCATAGAAAAAAAAATTAAACAAGATGCTACTTTTAATATTTATTTTTAACTTCTCAAAACAACAACAATATTAGGTGACACTTTATTTATTATTTACTTTGTGATTATATCTCAAGAGTACTGAGTAGTTAACATAAAGGTGTGTACGGGTTATTGTTTGGCAAAAGTCATTAGGATATTAATTAAGGATTGTGTTCCTTAAGACATTTAGTATATTTCTCAATGCAAATGTATTAAACTTAATATTTAATTAGTAATGAGTTGAGCATTGCTAAGGACTTGATTTAAATAATTATTTAGGTGGTTTATTCCGTGTTTGTCGCCATCTTGTGGCAGAACGCCAACGATCACTTTCTTTGGTATGCTCAGATCTGATCTGGTCGATGCGCTAAATCCGAAATTAAAAATTATAAATATTTAAAAATAGGCACTATCCTTATAAATAAACTGCATAGTTGTAATCTAAACAACAACATTCCTTGTCTTAAAAGTACATTATGTTGTCCAACAGCAGCAATATTTGTCAAACTGTAGTGTCCTCAGCTTGTCGCTGTATGTGGGCGGAGTAATACACAAGGGTGAAGGGTTAAGAAGCCAGACGAAAGCTGTTACTGGCAGAACACCGCATGGCTATTGACCTAATTCTTCGCCGATGAGCGGGCGCTGGCATTTGAATCTTTTTGGCTCGAGACTTCCGGTCTCATTCTCTTCCATTCATTTTTAGACATTAAAAACTGCTTGTTTCGTTGTTTGATGTTGCAAACTGATATTTCCTTGTTATATTATTCTACTTGGTCTGTATAGTCATGCAAACATTTGTTTGTAGAGCAAGTAGTTTGACCGTTTTTTGCCGTTTATTATTTCTTTGTCATTTCTCCAATAGGCGACTGAAACGGAAGTTCTAAGACAATCGCGAAAACAGACGCACTTCCGCATTCGAGAATAAGGTCAATAAGCCAGTCAGAGTCAAGAACCAGACAGAACTGTTGTATAAACAAATAAATAATTAAATATATTAATGTTGGCCAAAGATTCATCATGATTAACTCTTTTGCTGTGTAGAAACCCCACTGAGCATGGAGTCCCACCCGTACGTCTCAGGACCCGCCTTACAGCTCACAAGTGCATTTGGCGAGCTGTCAAAACCAAACAAAACCTTCCATCTGCGCAATATTTACAACCCCAAACCTCCTCCCCAGCGCCCCCCAGTGGCCATACGACCACCCAGCCCTAAAGCAGGATCCGTTCCTCCTCCACAGGATGCTGTGATCCGCCGCCGACTGTCCTGCGAACCCGAGCCCAAACCCATCATGAGGAGAAGAGCCAAATCCCTCTCGTCCTCCAGCGACCGGCAGACCTGCAGGAACATCCAGGTCCGCTTCGTGGACTCTCTCGGCCTGCAGCTGGAAGATGTCAAGTTCTTCAAATCCAGTGAAGATCCACTGGTGCCGGTTCACGTCATCACACGCCTGCTGGCCAGCTCAGAACTGGCCTCCAAGAAAAACCTGGAGCTCTCCTTGCCTTACTTCCAGCCCTCCTTCCCTGATAACATGACCACCGATGTATCTGCGTTCAGCAGACGTTTGTGCCGGCAGAGAGTGTGTCTGGAGCAGGTGTTTTGCTCGGAGCTGGGCATCACTGGAACGGCACAAGTGCTGAATTTGTGCTTCCAGAAGGAGGTCATCGTGCGCTACTCCTTCACCGACTGGAGGAGCAGTGCGGACTGTAGGGCCGGCTGGGTGTGCAGCGTCCGCAGGGGGGATCTGGAGTCCGACGTTTTTCGTTTTCTCCTGCCCGTGCCTCCGTTCATCATGCAGCCGGGCGCCGTGCTGCAGTTCGCCATCTGCTTTCGGGTGCCAGGATCTGAGTTCTGGGACAACAATGATGGGTGTAATTATAAACTGACCTGCCAGACTTACAAGCTGACCGTCCCTAGAGAGTGCGAAGACAGCCTAGTGCATTTCATTTGAGTGTACACTAAAGTTTTCACACACAGACATACATATGGTGGTTTTGAGGGCTCTCCATAGGCGTAATCAGGGTGTGAATTACAGGTTTGGGGGAGATTCATTCATTCATTCATTTTCCTTCAGCTTAGTCTCTTATTTATCAGGGGTCGCCACAGCAGAATGAACTGCCAACTATTCCAGCATGTTTTATGCAGTGGACGCCCTTTCAGCCGCAACCCAGTACTGGGAAACACCCATACACACTCAAACTCATACACTAGGGCCAATTTAGTTCGTCAATTCACCTATAGCCAACCCAAGCTCATTCTGGAAACGTAGCCTCGCGGACGTTTCTGGAGACCGCGATTTACGTGGCCGGAGGTACGTACGGACGTGTTTAGTTTTTTTCGAGCGAATGCTGCGGGGCGATGTGGCGCCGCTCCGCTCCTCCTCTTCGCGCTCGCTGGCCGATGGCTCGCCTCCGAGTGGAGAGCTTCCCCGATGCAACCAGTTTGTCCTCTTAGCTTGCAGCGTTGCGTCGGCGGAGCGGAGGCCCCAGAAGAGGAGGAGCCGGTCGCGGGGACGATGACCGGGATCGAGTCCAGAGAACAGCAGTTCCAGAAATCAGGTAAGATGAAAAACAAAATCCGAAAAATAAGGGCGAGAACGCGGCGGGATCCGAAAACGCAGTCGAAGACGAGGGCTTTTGCTTTTTTTTTTTTTTCTGGACGGCTTTTGCAAACCGTCACTCGGGTTTAGGGAAGGAGGAAGAGGAGGGCGGCCGGGTCGGCCGATCCGGCGGCTTTTCGCGCGAGAACAGCGCGGGCGCTAACGGCGCGCGTTCCAGAGAGGCGCCCGAGACGCGAAAAAGTGCGCACAGCGGCCTCTTGCGGATCCGCGAAAACAAAAAACGCTCGAATACGTACCTCCCGGGACGTACATCGCGGTCCGCAGAAACATCCACGGGGCTACGTTTCCACAATGAGCCCGGGTTGCCTATAGAGCATGTGTTTGGACTGTGTGGGGAAACCGGAGCACCCAAACTGACCCAGCCGGGGCTCGAACCAGTGAGGCGACAGGCTCAGTGGTTAGCACTGTTGCTACATGTTCTCCCTGTGCTCGCGTGGGTTTCCCTGGGGTTCCCCGGTTTCCCTCACTATCCAAAACACATGCGACATAGGTGATTTGACTAAACCAAAATTGGCCCCATAGATTAGTCAGCAGTATTTCTGTACATAGCAAGCCCTTATTTGTCATTAGCCATAAACAGCAGGGGAGTTCTCAAGATCTACCTGAGCTCAAACTCCCCTCTCCCCCTGCAAACAGGAGGGAGCCCTGGGCTCGAGGATCTTCTGAGCTCAGGGCTCTCTCCTGGGACAGCATGCCAAACACGCTTTATAATCAATCATCAGCTGAGTGTGAACTCTTGATTATTAATATATATATACATATATATATGTATATATATATATATATATATAAAATATGTTTTTTATGTTTTCTAACTCATGTCCTTTAAAAAAGTCATGGTTCCTACAGTTATCATAGTATTACTACAATATTACTATAGTAAAACAGTGGTTACTTCAGGCATATTTATACTATAGTCATATTTACTGGTTTTACTATAGTAAAAACATGTTTAAAAAAGTTATTTGGCCTCTTAAAGTTTGTTTATTCACATGTGAGTGACGGTCAGTGTTTATTGGACGTGTCTTGTGTGCTCTTCTAGACCTTTCTCCGACAGAGATCTGAAGGCATCTGAGGAAGCCCAATAATGCACTTCTGACCCAGTCCAGCTGTATGAGCGCATGATCTGAGCTCAGCTCTTAAAATATCCATCGTCCTAAACCAAACACAAAGTGACTATATTTACAGCTTCACCTTTGCCACACTTTTGGACAGTTGTTGTCCACAGCGGAATGAACCGCCAACTTATCTAGCATATGTTTTACACAGCGTATGCCCTTCCAGCTGCAACCCATTACTGGGAAACATCCATACACCTTCATTCATACACTACGGCCAGTTTAGTTCATCAGTTCACCTGTCCTGTAGTGCATGTGTTTGGACTGTGGGGGAAACCGGAGCACCCGAACTGACCCAGCGAGGGCTCGAACCAGTGCTACCCAGCGTCTCTCCCACAGCATCATTGTTGTAATGTAATTAAAATATAAATCATTAAATACACTTAAGCATTAATTCAAGTGTAAAACAAGATGAAAATCGGGTCACACGCACACGCCGTCAGGATCAGCAGGCGAGCGCAGACTCTTTTAAAGACATAACAATGTCATTTAATGCAGTACTTCTTGTACACCCCGAGACCCACTTTACATCATATATCAATCAGGCAGTGAAGATCTTTGATTATTTAAGAAAACAGACCTTAGATGAGGCCGTTTTGTAACAGCACAACACTAACTCGGTTACTACAAATTAAAACTCCTTCTGCAGTAACTTAATAAACCAACATATTCTGTTTCTCGCTTTTATATAAAAAATTAAGGCCCTAATTTATTACGACTGCTCTAATTTTTTATTTTATTTAATCGTGTGACCGTTTATAAGCATTATCTGGGGGTTGTTTTTAAAGAAAGCATATTTTAGGCTAAGCAGTTCTGCGAGCAGACAGCAGATGGCGCTCGGGATCTGGAGGAGGAGATGGACTGGGGAAAGTGAGGACATGACATTTGTATTTATTTAAGAAACATGTAAATTGTTGAAAATTAAACATTATTTACCCATAAAGAAAGTATATATTATTACTTAAAGATACTTGTGGCTAAAGTCTACAACCATAATAATATTAAATAAATAAACACAGTGATATATAAACTCCTTTTCACTTTTATATGGTGCTAAAGCGAAAAATGAATTATAGCCTAAAGAAAAAATCAGGCATATTTACAACCCGAATCATTTTAAGCCAACTTAAAAGATGATTATTTATGTGTTTTAATATGTAGAGTTCATGATACTGAACTAATGATGGCAAAAAAAAACATTATTTAATATTATTTACCACAAAACCAGTCTTACAAGTAATATATGTGAAAATCCAAATATTATTCACCTATTAAAAATAATATTAATAATTTAAGGTACTTGTGGCTGAAGTCTATAACCATAATATCATTAAATAAATAAATACAGTGATATAAACTTCTTTTCCCTTTTATAAAGCGAACAGGAGTTATATCCTAAAGTATAGCCATATTTACCAACAGAATCATTTTATGACAACTTAAAAGATGCTTATTTTATGTATTATGTATTATATAAAATAGGTATTATTAGTATGATTTAATAGGAGTTCAGGATACTGAACTAATGACGATAAAAAACATTATTTAGAATATTATTTACTGCTATTTTGTCATTTGTGACCACAAAACCAGCCTTATGTAATTTTTTTTTTTAAATCAGAACATTTTTTACCCATAAAGCAAGCATATATTAATAGTTTAAGGTACTTGTGGCTTAAGTCTACCTGTAATACCATTAAATAAATAAATACAGTGATATATAAACTGCTTTTTACTTTTATATGGTGCTCAAGTGAAAAGGAGTTGTATCCTAAAAATAAAATCAGGCATGGTTACAACCAGAATCATGTTATAACAACTTAAAAGACGATTATTTATGTATTTTGTATTTATTTAGAGTTCAGGATACTGAAATATTGATAGTAAAACACATTATAGAGGACATTATTTTACTTGTTTTATCATTTGTGATCCTGAACCACTAATTCAGACATAAATGTACATTATTTGGAAATTTGAACATTATTTACTCATAAACGAAGTGTGCATTGACACTTTAAGGTGCTTGTAGCTGAAGTATACATACTGTGATAGCATTTCTATAACATGTACTGTAAAAAATGCAGGCTTCCACACAATAATTCATGTTGTTCAAACACGAAGTGTTTCATTTATCTTAATTATTTTTACTAATTTGAGTGGATTGAACATAAAATAATTAAGTTGTGCAAAAAATAGCAAGAATTGTGATTGTTTCTTTAAATAGCTCAGACTAAATGAGCAGTTTGAACAAGCAGCAATAAAATATGAGAATTTATGAGACTATCCATAGATGTAATCAGGGCCAGAGCAAGCTGAACTGCCGCTCTAGGCAGAGGACGATCACGCCGCCCTCAACCCCAATGTGAAAATTAAAGTGACCGGTTATGAAAATGAAGTGAGGTGTCGCGGTCCTCTATTCTGCCGCCCTATATGGAAGGCCGTTGGGGCCAAAACGTCTGCAACAACGCGTTAACACACAATTTACGCGTTAACACGTAATTTATGCGTTAACACATAATAACGTGTTAACACGCAATTTACGTGTTCACGCGCAAATTACGCGTAAATTGCGTGTTAACCCGTTGTTGCAGACGTTTTGGCCCCAACGACCTTCCATAGCCCCATGTGCGGATATAACTGAGGACACGCGGGTGCTGATGGAGGTGTCTCTGACGCCGCCCTCTCTATTCTGTCGCCTATGTGCAAATATAACTGAGGAAGCGGGTGGTAAGGGAGGTGTCGCGGACATAACTGAGGACGCGGGTGGTAAAGGAGGTGTTGCGGACGCCACCTATGTCGCCTCTATGGACACGCCGGCCCTGGATGTAATGTATTTTATACAGTCAAAAACAATTATTATACGATCTATTCCTAAACCCAACCCGAATGGGAAAGTTTTATAAAAATTAGAATTTTTAATTATGATTTTACAGCATTTTAAATTACGAGGACACAAGGCCACGTCCTCATAAACCACCTCAATGTTGTAATACCTAGGTCATATGTCATTATTCACATTTCTTTCCTTGTAAACCATTAAAACCAGTACTTGAAAAGATGATCAGTGTATTTAAATATACTCAATATATTTGAGTGTACACTTTTACATTGGGAAATCTGTTTTCTTTCCAATATGTTAAACAAGCACCTTGTTCTGCACCTAAATCTCAATTATTTCTACAAGATAAAGCGTTTATCGTTGTGCCGTCCTGTTGCATCAGCCTAAAATTCCTCAAGATGAAGCTCCAGGAGCCTGAAAACTGTGATATTTGATGAGAAGATCAGGGTTGTGTTTTGACAGAGGAATATTTAGCGCTTCTTCAGTGAACACAGACTGACCCAGTTAAAGAGCTCATCTCTTATGCATGAACTTTAAATGCGCTCA